TAAATGTTATTTCCTTCCTTCTGCTGTTTTTGGCTATGTTTGTTCTTTTTCTAGCTCTTTTCGGTGTGGGATTGGTTATTTATTTGAGACCTTTTTTTTTGTTTCTTCAGATAGGCCTGTATTGCTATAAACTTCTCTGTTAGAACTGCTTTTGCTGTGTCGCAAAGATTTTGTACTCGTGTATTTTCATTTTCATTTGTCTCCATGTATTTTTCGATTTCCTCTTTGATTTCATCATTGACCCATTCACTGTTTTGTAGCATGTTGTTTAGCTTCCATGTATTTATGTTCTTCCTAGATTTTTCTATTGTAATTGATTTCTAGTTTCATACTATTATGGTCAAAAGATGCTATATGATTTTAATCTTAAATTTATTGAGACTTGTTTTGTGTGGTATGTATTGGAGAATGTTGCATGTGCATTTGAAAAGAACATATATTCTTCTGTTTATGGATAGAATGTTCTTTATATATCTTAGTTCCCATCTGGTTTAATGTGCCTTCTGTAGAAGAGATCCTGTGGTACCCTGTCAGTCCTCCCTTGGTCACCAGAAACAGGTGCTCCTGGGGTGTCTCCTCTGTATGCTGTGTGTGCCCTAATGTTGTGGCTGAACTGCATTTGCCTTCAGTCCAGCCAACTGCAGTGACCTGCTTTGCCTGCTTTGGGCAAACAAGGCAGAATTTGTGCAATTGAGAAGTCTGTTTGAGGCCTCTGCAATCTTGTAGGTGGGTGGGGTCAGCAGTCAGGCTATCTGAACTTAGCCTGCCTGCCACAGCTGTGGGATACCAAACAGCAAACTTTACTTTTTGCTCAGCCAGTGAAGAGGCTTTGATGCTGGAACTGTGGGCATTCTGGTGTGTGGGATTATCTTCCCCTCTCCAGGGCAGGCATCACTTTTGAGTGGTGCTGGTCCCTGCTGGGGCTGCTTGCAGGTTATGGTGGGGGCAGGAACCACTTTGGTGGGATGCTTGTCAGTGCAGGAGGGTTGGATGGGCAGATCTGCAGGTAAATAGTGCTAGCAAGATAGGTAGAGAGTGTTATGCTGGCTCCTGCCAAATGTCCAGCTATCTAGGATCAGGGAGGGGAAGAGAAATGGCACCCACTTGTAGTTTTGTTTCTAGAGAAGTCTCCTGATGATCCCTACCCCTCTAGCATATGTTCTGAAATTACTAAGTAAATCTTCATGTACCCAAGGCACTTTTCAAACTGCTACTATTGTGCTATGTTTCTGGCTGAGTTATTTATTATTCTGGCTCTTTAAAGGCAGGACTCTGTTTCCTATTATTGTCTGACTCTCCTGGAGTTAAGCCCAGCTGATTTTTAAAGTATGTGGACTTAAGTTTTGCTGATACTAAAAGCTCCTGAAGTTAAGCCCCATTGGTTTTCAAGGCCAGATGTTATGGGGACTCATCTTCCCAGTGCATTTCCCAGTGTCTTGGGTGCCTGGTGTGAGGTTTAATCCTCTCCCTTCTCTTTGCTTGTAGTATAAGTCCTGTTTGTGGTTAATCTCACCCAGCGTTTTGGTTCCCAACTGTGTCTCCATGGCTCCTACCCTTTTTGATGTGACCCCCTGTCTATGATTAACTGTGGAAGGGTCTTTTCTGCCAGTCTTCAGATCATTTTCAGAGCTAGTTACATAAATGTAGCTATAATCTCAGAGGTGTGTCCATGGGGGTAGGTGAGCTTGGGATCACCCTACTCTATCTTCCCTGAACTATTTGATTCTTAGAGTTTTCCTCTCTGCTATTTCCCACCTGATCCACATATGATGGCTGTCTCCCATTAGATCCTTTAATGTTTTAATCATAGTAATTTTATATTCCTTGTCTAATTGTTTAGACATCTGTTTCATATTGGAGTCTGGTTCTGTTGACTTTTGCCTCTTGACAGTTATTTTTTTCTTGCTTTTTTATATGCCTTATACTTTTTGTTGAACATGGGTTATCTTGTGTAGTGATAATAGTGTTTATGTCTGGAACTGGGCTTCCCTTTCTGCTAAACCTTTAGTTTGAAGTAATGTTTTCTTTGTTTGAAAGAAACAGTAAGTTACCTATATATAAGGGAAGCTGTCATAAGCTCTGTGGAGTTAAATATATCCTAATTTATTTGCCGTTATCTTTTTATTACCTTCTTTGTAATTACTTTTGGGGGGTCTTATTCTATGTAAGGCATTCTCTATACTTTTTAAAACACACTTTTAGGGAATGAACTGAACTTATCCCATTTTACAAGTGGAAACTTAAGTAAAATTAAAGATAAACACCTATCAAATAATAGAATGGGAACTTGATTCTCCAGGTGTCTGATTTCATATCTTATGTCCTTAACTTTTAGATTCATCATTTGACTTCACCAAAAAAAAAAAAAAAAAGGGTTGGGTATCACTTATATTGAAGGCCCTGTGATATGTGCTATGGAGGGACAACATGATCAATATGACATCTGCATTTAATAAAATGTTAGGGGTGCCTGGGTGTCTCAGTCAGTTAAGTGTCTGACTCTTGGTTTCAGTTCAGGTCGTGATCTCATGGGTTGTGAGATAGAGCCCCTTGTTGGGCTCTGAGCTTAGTGGGGAGTCTGTTTGAAGATTCTCTCCCTCTACCCCTCCCCCCCACTTGTGCCTGGTGTCTTTCACTGTCTTGTGCTCTGTAAAATCTTTTTTAAAATAATGAAATGCTAATATTCTAAGAATAGACCTCAAAGAATATCCCTTTTCACTACATAATTGAAATAGTAGAAATATGCAGTAATCTTATTTATAAATGATACTGGTTTATATGCGTTAGAGAAACCTCTGGTTGCTGTGGTGATTCATAACCATTTTAAGTGGTCCAGCCATCCTCATGAGGAGGACCCTCATTGGCTTATTTCCCAGGCCTTTACTTATTCAGAACTCATGAGTGATATAGTCCAAAAGATACCGTACAAAGATAAATTAGATTGTGGAGCACAGTATGGAGATAGAATTAGACATTTGGAAATGATAATTTGGTACGATAAAAAGCTGAAAGAAAGTAATAATGAGGAACAAAGAACATTCTCCTCAAACCTTAGAGTATAACTTCAGTGAGGATAAGGAGGAAGAAAACTCAGTAGATAAGAATGAAATGGTTAGAGTATTAGGAGAATCAACAATCTAGCAATGCTGTCTAATAGAACTTTCTGTGATAATGAAAATGTTCTTTATCTGTGTTGTTCAATACAGTAGAAAATAGTTACTTTAAAGCTAGAGAATTTCCCAAGCACTGTCACCCTGGGACTTAATCCACTGGTTTTGATGGTTGGTTTACTTCTGTCAGTTACTTTTTTGGGAAGACTGACTTTCTTGTTCATTTACTTCTCTTCATGTTTTTGCCTCAGTTTGGACAGGTAATTCCTTACTGTCCAGCTCTTTGGCTTTAAGAAGTTTTTTGTAATCCATATTTTATTTAATAATTTTTTTCATGGAAATGTTGGCCTATGTAACCTAATCTATTACTAGAAACAGGAATCTTTGGTTTTGAATTTCATGGAAAAATGCTGTACTTACAATTTTTCTAGGCTTCATGGCATAATCTTTCTTTTATATGTTCCTCCTTTACTATTTTGTGTCAACTTTTTTTTTTAATTTTTTGTAGGATTTTTTCATAAGTTCCATGTTGAAAATTTTTTTTTACTGTGACTCTTCATTGGTACTGTTCTTTTTATAAGCTAGGCTAGTAGGTAGCTTAGATATTTGATCAATTGTTTCCAGACACTTTTCTTACCAGCACTTTTCTATATATAATATACTCCCTTCATGGCTAGCCATAAGCTTCCCTAAAGCACTTCATGTATTATAGATTATTTTATTCTACCTCTTGTGTTCTTATTGCTATTCTTATTTTCAGAGTGGATAGAGGACATAGACATCTTTTTTTTTTTCTGTAAACTTTAATGAAATTTCTGTCTTGTTTTTCTATATGGTGCTGCTCTGTACATGGCAGGTCTACTATAAAGTCTTATAATTTAGTTCTCTGCCAGTTTCTAACCTTTGAGTTCCTGTATTTCCACATGCTTCTCTTTTGGTACCATTGTATTTCTCTCCATGCCTTAAATAATGTGTTGGTTGATTTAGAAATAAGTAGCATTTTTCTCTTGGCCTTTCTTACAGGGAGAAACTGTAATTTTTTTTCTTGAATCATCTTAATTGCCCCAAATTAGAAGCATCCATGGTATCTTCCAGTAGGTGAATGGATAGACTATAGTACATCCATGCAATGAGTTATCATGCAGCAGTAAAAAGAATGATCTATAAATCCACAAAAAGATATAAATGAACCTTAATTATGTATTGCTAAGTGTAAGAAGCCAGTCTGAAAAAGTTACTGTTAGGATTCCACCTATGTAGCATTGTGGAAAAGACAAAACAATAGAGATACTGAAAAGATCAGTTATTATCCAGGGAATTGAGGGAGTGAGGGAGGAGGGATGAATAGATGGATGTCAGTGGGTTCTGAGGTCTGTAAAACTATTCTGCATGATACTGTAATGGTGGGCACATATGCTTATGTCAGAAGCCATACAACTGTACACCACAAAGAGTGAACCCTAATGTAAATTGTGGATTTTGGTTAATAGTGATGTATCAATATTGGTCCATCACATGTAACAAATATACCACATAAAGGCAAGATATTAATAACAAGAACCATATGTGGGTTGGGGAGTGGGTTTGTAAGAGGAGAATATATGGAAACTATACTTTCTGTGCAATTTTTCTGTAAACTTAATCTGGAAAGTAAAACCTATTAACTAAAATATATTCATACTTGATAAAGAGTTCATATATAGACTATTACAAAGTAATTAAATAACCATAGGTAGTATCTAAGTAACAAAACAACAATTTATATGAGAATGTGTTTCTTTTCTCTTGTTAACAATTTGGTCTTTATTCTGCCTTCTTAAATTTTTTTTTAGAATTCCTCCAGTCATTCCTGTTTCTGTATTTATTTTTCTTTTTGGTCTTTTCTATTAGGTGTACTAGCCCTATCTTGGTACCCACCTGGTACAAATGATGAGAATGGAGAAAATACTGATGACTTGGTACCGACTATTTTGGATAAAGCTCATAAATATAATCTGAAGGTATTTAATTTTATTTTTTTTTGGAGATACCGACATATTAGTATCAGGTGTTCAACATAATGATTTGGTGTGTTTATTTTGTGAAATGATCATCACAATAAGTCTAGCTAACATTCATTACACAATTACGAATTATTCGTGTGTGTGTGTGTGTTAAGAATTTTTAAGATCTGTTCTCTTAGTGGCATTCAAATGTATCATACAATGTTAACTGTAGTCACTATGCTGTACATTATATACCTAAGTCTTTTTTATTTTATGACTGGAAGTTTGTACCTTTTAACCATCTTCACCCATTTCACCCCCTCCCCACCCCCACCTCAGACAACCATACATCTGTTATCTGTGTCTATGAGGTGTTTTAGGATATTTGTCTCTATCTGACAGACTTATTTCACATAGCATAATGTCCTCTAGGTCCATCTATGTTGTAGCAAATGGCAAGATTTCCTTCTTTTTGTGGCAGAATAATATTTGTCTTGTATATATACTACATTTTCTTTCTCCATCCATCCATTAATGGACATTTAGGTTATTTCCATTTCTTGGTTATTGTAAATACAGGCACACCTCATTTTGTTGTGCTTAGATTTTGTGCTTTGTAGATACTACACTTTTTTTTAAAAAATTGAAGTTTTGTGGCAGCCCTGCATATAGCAAATATATTTTCCAACAGCTTTTGCTTCATGTTCTGTGTCACGTTTTGGTAATTCTCACAATATTTCAAACTTTTTCATTATATTTGTTAAGGTGATCTGTGATGAGTGATTATGACTTGCTGAAAGATAAAATGATGGCTAGCATTTTTTTTAGCAATAAAGTATCTTTTAAGACACATACATTGTTTTTTAGACATAATGCTATTGCAAACTTAACAGACTACAGTGTAGTGTAAGCTGGATTTTTTTATGCACCAGGAAGCCAGAAAATCCATTTGACTCCTTTTTTGCAATATTCATTTTATGGTGATGGTCTGGAACAGAACCTGTAATGTCTCTGAGGTATGCTTGTAATTGTGTGGTAAGCATCAGTATTATTTCAAACTTGTTTTTGTTCCCTTTGGATAAATACCAGAATTGCTGGATCATATGGTAGTTTTATTTTTAATATTTTTTTTTTCTTTTGTCCCAGCCACCCCCTCCCTCCCACCCTCCACCACTCCAGCAACCCTCCATTTGTTTCCTGAGATTAAGAATTCCTCTTATCAGTGAGGTCATATGATACATGTCTTTCTCTGATTGACTTATTTCACTCAGCATAACACCCTCCAGTTCCATCC